CAGGCACTGTACTAAGTCCTAGAGATACAGAGACAAAAAAACCCAGTGCCTGTCCTCAAGGAGCTTTCATTCTAATGAATAACAGAGAGGAAGTTGCTTCTGTTATATGAGTCAGCTGAACTACTCTGTGTTCATCACTTGTCAATAACTCATGTTCTTGTTTTTGGACACTTCTATGAATTTGTGCTTTTCAATGAATGTAGGTATCTCCTCTAATGATATAGATATCAACCCATCTCTAACTATCAAACCTGGGTAAATCTTGTAAATCTTCCTGTAAATATGACATAAGAGGTTCACCCAGTGTGCTGAGGGCCTTCTTGCCTGTCTCTTGATGCTAGATAGATACTCATGGAGCGCTTGCATTGTCCATCAATGACTTCTCACTCTTGCTACGGTAAGAGCATGATCAGCCTGCGTATGCCCACCAAGCCCAACTCCAGTGGCTCTAGACGCATGCCTTTTAAAGACGCTTTTATTTTTTAGCATTAGCCTTGACTTTTCTTAACTCCCGCCCATAGAGAAATTATCAGTTTTCCTCCTCGAAGGCTCCAAATTTGGAATATTTTACCTTTCAGTCTTGTCCTAGCTATTTGGAGATCGCTTTTTAAGTGCTTCCTGGCTCTTGGGGAGGGAAATTCTTCCTTTCCTCAGGTTAATTTTTGGATTTGGTTGAGTGCCCCTGGTCCTCAGACTTTTCACAGAGAATCAGGGCACCTTCTTCTTCTGTTTTCAATTCAATTGTGGCCTCACCAAGACAAAAACACTCTTTTTTGTATGGCAGGGTGAAGCCTTGGCTGGTTGGAAGTGTTACTATTTTCACCTGGGCAGTTGGTACATAGTTTTAACTTTTATAGAGTGGGTGGAATCATGACCTAAGTGAGTAGAGAAGCCCAGTGGTACCACAGCTTATAAAGAGGATATGATTCTGAGCTCTCAGCGCTTGTGTTCCAAAGGGGTTTCATGTCATACTGTTTAGGGCTGTGAGATAGTTCTTAGGCCTCGTCCTCATGACACAAATACAGAAGTAGAGAATTGAGAAGGTACTTTTATCCTAGCTATGCTTAACAACATTCTCCTCTGCAACATTCTCAACAAGAGGTCACCCAAGTCTGTCTCTGAAGACTTCCAGGGATAAGGGTCCCACTGCCTCTTGCTCTTGAGGCGGCCTATCCTATTTTGAAATGCCTCTAGTTACTAGGAAATTTTTCCTTATAATCAACCTGAAATCTAACTCTCTGGATATTCACCTTATTTCTCTCAGTTTTTCCCTCCAGGGACAAACAAAACAAACCCAGCCTCACTTCGACATGGGGGATGGTGGAACAGATCACAAAAATGATTCAATACAAATCATACCGGACTGAGAATTCTCTCTATAATATCCAAGTCTCTGCTTGAAGACCTCCACAGAGGGAGAGCCCACTATCCCCCAGAGTCAGTGTCTTCTACTTTGGACAGCTCTAATTGTAAGGAAGTTTTTCCTGATACCAAATATGAATTTATCTTACTGCAATGTTCACATATTGCTTCTGGTCCTAGCCTCTGGGGCCAAAAACAACAACGACAATGATGACTAATGATGACAAATAATACATGTTATTTTAAGGTTTTTAAAATGTTTTATTGTGTGGGGCAGCTAAGTGGCACAGTGGATAGAACTCTGGCCTTGGAGTTAGGAGGACCTGAATTCAAATCTGGTCTCAGACACACAATTCATGATACTTACTAGCTGTGTGACCCTGGGCAAGTCACTTAACCCCGATAGCCTAGCAAAAAGAAAAAAAAAAGTTTTATTGTGCATATTATCTCATTTTCTTCCTCACTGCTATCAGTGCTAGGTACTATTATCACTTCCATTTTATAGATAAGGACATGTGACTTGCTCAGGGTCACATAAGTAGTGTCTGAGACAAGAATGAAACATATGTCTTCTTCTTTCCAATACCAGTGCTTTATTCAATCCCTTCTCCATAAGATTACTCTTCAGATACTTAAACATAACTATCATGTACCTCCTGAATCTTCTCTTCTCTAGATTAGGCATTCACAGTTCCTTTAACTGAAACTTATATGGTGTGACCTCAAAATTCATTGTTATGTCTAATTGTAATGTACCATGTTGTATGAAGGATTTTTAAGGATTTAATTATTATAAGAAATGTCATTGTTTCCATTATTCACGGTAACAGAAATACCCTAATTTGGAATGTCCTTTATGGACTACATGGATTTAACAAGTTAAATTTTTCTCATTCTTTTGTAAATAAGGTAGAAATTAAACTAGTCATTTTCTTAATTCCAAAGAATATGAAATAAAATATTTATAATTTGAAGGAGATATAGTGCATTTTCTACCATAGTGAAACTTTCTTTTGGGAACCAACTGTCAGATGTAGACTCTATGAGGGAGTAGTACTGTGAGAGTTCTCTTGAAACTAAACCTTTATAAGGGAGCTGCCATGTGCTTGACTTAAAGGAGGACTCTCTTCTAACATATTGGATTCGAAGGTCTTTTCATGTAAGGGATTTGCTGTATTTTGTAAACCAGATGGCTTTCAGTTGAGATCTTTCATGTCCAGTGGGAGCTAACAATTTCAAGTGCTGATAGTAGTTTCATTGGATGCGCCTGAAAGGGAGACAGGGTGGGGTGAAGGAAGGTAGGAAGTCAATCTATCCTCCCTCTTATTCTTCTCCACCTGGGATCTGGAAATGGGATGTTGGGGCAAAATCAAAGCGGAGTCACATATTTTTGAACATGTCTTGAGAGGAGAGATCCTGAGAGCAAATTTTCTTAGCTCAACAGATATTAGTAGTTGAGACCAATGAGAGATTTCCTTTAGAAACTCTTGGAAGAAACAGGTATGTGCCTGTCCACTTAGCTTGAGAAAGAAGTCTTAGTTTTGGGGACAGCCTCAAGTTCAGGAGCTCCCAAATTCAAGAGTTTGGTGACCATATCTTCTCAAGGAAGAAAAGGATTTCCTAATTCAGTGTAATTTGGAGACAGAAGAGAATTGCCCACCTAGTTCATGAGCATTGTCCAATGAAGAGAAGAGGGCTAGAAAGTTATTTGGATGGTGAAGATTAGGATTGAAGGTGCTCAATTGTCCAGATATTTTCGCCTTGAGGTGGGGATAGGAATCCAAACCAGACAGGGACACTACCAGTCTAGGAGGAATTGGTTGGGCTAGGGATTGACCAGAATATCACAGGGGCTACTGCAGCAATCTTAGCTTCAGTTCCCTTCTGTAAGGAGCTAATGGGAATTTTGAGTATTTGGGGTTTCTGTAGACATTTGTGAGTTCCTATGAATCCTGTGCAACTTTTGCATTTTTTTTCTTTGGTGAAATAATGGCTGCTCTACCCATATGCATTGTGACTTTGGTCCCTTTTACTCACATTTGGGAAAACCTAGGCAGAAGCTAAATATAAGCTAGATTTAATTTTCCTGAAGTAACTCTAGGTCAGGGAAAGGAGTCAAAGTAGCAAATGATTCTCTTGATATTAGCTGCCAGAATTAGATCTAGTTCATCTGAACCCAAAGCGTTGTGGAGATTTGTTCTGTGCTTTCATCTTCAGGGCTTATTTGGGGTATAAAGTGTTGAATTTTAATGAATCCCATGTGCCTAATTATTTTTGGAAGCCTAGCATGTCTTTGCAGTTTTACTACATATGCTTAATTATTCTTATCATTCATTAGATCTAGACTGTTCAATCTAGAACCTGAGTCTGGACAGTTTCTCCATCATTCATATGGATTCTAGGTCCATGGGAAGGGGATTGCTTGATGGCCTATAAACACTGAGTGCTTATTTTTTTTTTTTTGAGAAGGGAAGTTTGGTTGATTTTTTCACCAGATGGTGGTGGGGGGGTTGGTTTCGCCATCAACCCCAACACATTTGGGTTTTCAATTTTGGATTCGTAGTAGTAGTAGCAGTAGTAGTAGTAGTAGTAGTAGTAGTAGTAGTAGTAGTAGTAGTAGTAGTAGTAGTAGTAGTAGTAGTAGTAGTAGTAGTAGTAGTAGTAGTAGTAGCAGTAGTAGTAGCAGCAGCAGCAGCAATATTGGTAACAATAACAGTTAATAATATTAATAATTATAATAGCTAATTTTTATAGCCCTTTAGTATTTTGCAAAGTGTTCTACCCCTAGGAGGTGTAGGTCCTTTTATTATCCCTATTTTATGGATGGGGAAGTGGAATCAGACAGAAGTTAAGTGACTTTTCCAGTGCCACACAGCTAATTAAGTATCTGAGGCTAGAGTAGATCACAGAGCTTCCTGTCTCCAGATTCAACACTTTATTCACTATGCCACCTAGCTGTTTCAGGAATCATTTGGGGAACCTGATTTCCACCTGAGGGTGAGTGCTTGACTCCTCTGATCAACCTTTCTTAAATGTGTGATTGATTTAAAAATACTCACAAATTTTTATTGATACTTTTTTTTTATTGTATCATGGTCATTTAATGGTCACAGTTAATCTCACTCATACTTGTGAACCTTCCCTTGCAGCAAGGCAAAGAAGAAAACCATTTAATTAGAAACAACACAGCAGTCACATCTGACCACATATATGACACTTCATACCCACAGGCTCCTATGATCCAGTGAAAGGAAGGATTTGTGTTTCTTCATCCAATTTCTGTGGCCAGTATTGGTTATTCCAATGATAGAATGCTCAACTTTAGTTTACTATTCTTTTCACTTACATTGTCACAGTTGCTATGTGTATTCATTTCCTAGTTCACTTAGTTTTCTCTTTTGTATCAGTTCATACGTTTTCTCTTGTTTCTTTGAACACCTCATACTCTTCATTTCTTATGACACAAGGATTTTCCATTACTTTCCTGTGCCACAAGTTATAAAGCCATTCCCCAATCTATGGGGGACCCATTTTGTTCCCAGTTCTTTATCAACATGGACAGTACCAGCCTGAATATTTGGATATGAATAGGTTATGTTTCTCTTGAACTGATTTTTTTTGGTGGGTCTGTTTTCCAGGTGAAGCTCTGAAGGTATCAGCTGAAACATTTACAGATGATCCCTGTTTTTTGCCAAAGAGGGAGGCTGTGGTTCTAGCTGCCCGTGCCTTGTTGGCTGCTGTCACCAGGCTGCTCATCTTGGCTGACATGATTGATGTCATGTGCCTCCTGCAACACGTGTCTGCTGTAAGTAGTACCTGGAGGAGTGCAAGGCTGCCTTTCTTTAACTTCTTGGGTTGGCACAGGGATGGTGTTCTCTGCTCTATACTATTCTGCTGCTCAACAGGAAACTTGCAGGTGCCCTCTCAGCTGGTGCATCCCTCCTAGTTTGCAAATGTCTTTAGTGACTGACTCTATTGTTCTGTAGACGTTCAAGTCAACCCAACAGCCACTTTATCAAACTTCTATGAGGTAGCCCCTCTGCTAGGCTCTGGGGATGAAAAAAAAGAAGATGAAATTCTTACCCTTGAGGAGTTTACATTTTACTTGGAGGGAGCATACAACATGGCATGCAACATTGGCATATGCAACATGTACACCAGTAAAAAATACAAAATGCAGAAGTATATTCAAGGCAATGTGAAGGAACTGCAAGGAGGAGGAATTGCTAGTAACTGGGATGGTGGCTAGACTAGGAAAGGCCTTATGTAAGTGACAACATCTGAACAATGCTTTTTAGGAAGCTAGGGGATTTCCCAGACTGAAGTAAAGAGTGCAGTCCAGGCATGGGGGGAAAGGGGTGCCATTCGTTCAAAAGCATGGAGATGGTAGATGGAATGCCATGAATGGAGAAAGCATTTCAACAGGAGTTGGTCAAAGATCCAACATAAAACTGAAAAAGCTCCATGGCTGGTTGATTAAAAATAGCTGAAAGAAGGTTCTTCATTTTGTGTTTGTGCGTGTATATACATGTGTACACATTACACTATGCTCCTTCTCCAGTGCCTCATCGTAACGTCAAGATGACCCGTTGGTTTCCAAGGTGGTGGCAGTGGGACATGAACCTTGTCAGGATCTCCAAAGCTCTAAAGGCCTCAAGGAAAAGTCTGGTGCTGGATTATGATGTGGACTTTTATGATAGTCACCTGAGGAACAACCCAGTTAAATCTGGAGAAACTCATGATTGGGCTGGCCAAGGGATAATGATTTTTTCCCATCACAATGACAAGTCTCAAAGATCTGTCTACTAATCCAGAGAAGGGGCTGGCTCTGTATTGGTGGAGAGCCCTCCCACACTTCCTTGAAGTGTAATTAAGCCCTACATGGATAACATTTCTTGTGACTGTAACAGATGGTATGCATCCTCTTTCCTTCATTCCCTCCTCCAAACCACTCCTACACCCCAAACCTTGACACATGAGTTTGGAAAGAGGACCTCAGGACAAGTTTGTGGGGATTGACTTGCTTTAAAAGTTCCAATGATATCAAATTCTCTGGAACGATCAACCCAAGAAAAGTCTAAATGTGAATTATTCATTTCAGTTTTGCTGTTTGTCCTTGTCATTCAATGAACTTTCTTTTTAAGGACTTGGATGCTATGCTATTTGGTGCATCATATATTAAGTATTGATGTTATTTCATTGCCTTTAAGCAAACTGCAGTCTGATTTGTCATTTTAGCCATGCCAATTTTTTGTGGTGGTTGTTGTCCTGTCTGAAATCATGAGTGCTTTCCTTGTTTTTTCACGTTGACCTGAAGCATGATGCATTCTGCTCTAGGCCTCCATTTTATGTCTGTGTGAGTATTTATGTTTCCTGTGTGTTCTTGTAAACAACAGATTGTGGGGAGTCTCCCTTCTGATCCATTCAGTTATCCTCTACTGTTTTGCTGTTGAATTCATCCCATTCGTGTTCACAGTTAGGGCTCAAGATTGGACCTATGATTTTAGTGTTATAGGGAATTCCCAGGTAAGGGAATTCCGTTTACTAATGCAAATTGACACCTTTTCTGAGCTTGTGGTATTTTAGAACTGCCTAGAGCCCAAGAGGTTAAATCACTTGGCCAAGGTCATGCAGCCAGGAAGTGACATAATTAACTTGAACCTAGGTCTCCCTGGCTTTGTGGTCAGCTCTTTATGTGCTATGTGGACTCTAAGCAATATGTCTGTGGTCATGACTGCAGTTGTGTCTTTTCCTCCATTTCCTCCTCTTGCACTTTTTTCCTTTCTTTGTTCCTTGCTTTTCTCTTTACAAAGAAGAAGGTGACGAAGGAGAAGGAAAGTGGCCAGCACTAGTGATTTGAAATGAGAATCATCTGCTTTGCCTCCACTGCCCATCTTCTCTTCACCTTATCCTGACTCTGGTCATAGGTTCTTCTATTTTCTCTTTCCTTTTTAATCTGCTTTAATGATCTATCCTTTGAAGGTGAAGCTTGTTTTGCTTGTGATTATTTCCTCTGAGTCTCTACCATGCCTCTTAAACTCCTTTCTTTTTTCCTTTCCCAGTAGATTTCCCTGATGCTACGTGAATTAATACACTCAACTCTCTGTGTGTTTATGTGTTCAACCCACTTTTCTATGGTTTAGATAAGAGTGAGGTTCAGCTGATGTCTGTTCTGCCTAGCCTTCCTTCTGCCAGGTGACTTGTATAGTCTTCTAATTTTCACTTTGCTTTGTGGTTCTCATAAATTTTGATACTTTTAATTTATAATTTCTTGAAATATGGTAACTAGTTTTGTTTTTCTGGAAATTCAAGAATTCTTAAATTACTTCTTCTTGAATTCTCATCCAGGTCAGTTATCTTTGATGGTAAATGCCTTACATTATCTTTGATGTTCTAATCTTTTGATTTTATTTTAATATTTCTTGTTGTGCCATGGAATCATTGAATTTTATGTGGTCCATTTTAATTTTTAGGTAGACCATTACTTGGGCAAGGTTTTCTAGGTTGTGGTCTAAGCTGCTTATTCTCCTTCCAATTCTTTCCTTTGGAGCTTTCAATTTCATTTGTTACTCCATTTGTTATTTATTTCTTCATTTGGATCATATTTCTCTTTTATTTCCTCTTCATTTCTTGGGGCCAATCCATTTTTTTTTTCTCTGAAGATCTGCTGGTAGTTGGTGTGGGACTATTCTCTTCTGGGTTTTACCTCAGAAACCTATAATATTTCTTCTTGTGTAAGTGGCAACATCTGAACAATGCTTTTTAGGAAGCTAGGGATTTATCCAGACTGAAGTGTTAGAAGGAGTATAGTCCACACATGGGTGAGGGGTGGCATTTGCTCAAAAGCATGGAGATGGTAGATGGAATGTCATGAACAGGGAGAGTGTTTAAACAGGAGTCAATCAAAGATCCAATAGAAAACTTAAAAAGGTTGATGGTTGATTAAAAATAGCTGGGAGAAGGTTCTACAGTGTGTGTGTGTGTGTGTGTGTGTGTGTGTGTGTACATGTATTCACATTACACTATGATCCTCCTCCAGTGCCTCATCCTAACATCAAGGTGACCCATTTGTCTTGAAGGTGGTGTCAGTGGGACATGAACCTTGTCAGGTTCTTGCCACTTACACAGTAATATTGACCTATAATATTTCTTCGTAGTGTTGGGTATTGTGCTCTGTTCAGTCTTATCCTTAGCATTAATTCATGATTTGAGACTTTGTGCCAGAGCTAGGCACCATTTCCTCCCATGCTTTAGAATGGAGTGATCTGGCCCTGTTTGATCCTAACATTACTATCTTGAGGGTGGTTTGTCCCTGTTTGCTCCAGACCTCAATCACCCGGGCTCCTGCTTCTGGCTTCTACCTCCTTTTCTGTGTCTGCACTCAGTGTGTTGGCAGACTTCAGTATCCTTGGTCAGAATTCTGTGGTCCTCTGTCCTCTCTCAGGCATTTCTGGTCAGGACATTGCTTCAGGTTTCTGCTCTGTTCACCTGAGCTCATGCAAGCTTCCCCAGTGGGGCCTCTGTGCCAGTGTCCACAGCTTCTTGCTGTTTTTTTTTCTCTCTACTGCTAGACGGCATGAAGGCCTTTACTAATGTTTTTCTTTGGATTTCTTGATTTCAATGTGATCTGATACCCTTTTTAGATCATTGTGGGAGAATGTGTGAGAAAGGTAGGCTTTCTCTATGACCTTTCATGTCACCAGCGTAAACAGAAATCTGTGGTTATTTTATTTGAAAAAGTGTTATTGCTTCTTTAAGAAATCATTATGATTTCCAACAATCCTCTGCCACAGTAGAACCTTTCCTTATAATGAAGAAGTGCTGTTAAGCAAAACAAATTGATGCACTATGTGTGACAGTGTATACCACACAGCACATGTAGTCCACTGCTTTTTTACTAAAAGAAAGGACCATAGGCTATCAAACATGGTCAGTGTGTTAGTTTGTTTTGCTTTATAGCACTTTAAAATTGTCTGCTTTAATCTGTAGGCACATCTCTTTCTTCTTTTTGTCTTGCATGCAACTAAAAAGTATTTTTGTTGTTGTCTTCAGCATTTTTGGGGGAAGCCTTAGTTTATTCTAAGCCTTGGGCTTCCCCACACCATGCTTAGGTTCATGCTACTGGATTAAATTTGCATTGCGTTTTGTGCCTCTCCTCCCATATTGGAGACTGATTTTGGTATAGTGACCTGAGAGCTGGCTTTGGAGCCTGGAAGAACTGGGATCAAATCCTGCCTGTAGCACATACTAGCAGTATGGCCCTGGGCAAGTCACTTCATCTCTTAGTGCTCTAGGTAACTAAGATTGTACATTGCAGAGAAGGCATTGTTAAGAGAGAATTTCCTCACCTTGCAGTTCCTTATATCAATGAAATCATAGATCCAGATCCTATCTCTACCTGCAATGCATTTAAAAAAAACTAATAACAATAATAATAATAGTAGCAGCTAGTATTTACATAACTGGGCAGCTAGGTGGTCCAGTGGATGGAGTGTGAGCCTGGAGTCAGAAAGACTCCATCTTCCTTAGTTTAAATTGGCCTCAGACCCTTATTAGTATGACCCTGGGTGAGTCACCTAATTTTGTTTGCTTGTTTCTTTATCTGTAAAATGAGTTGGAGAAGGAAGTGGTAAACCACTCCAGTATCTTAGCCAAGAAGACCCCAAATAGGGTCACAAAGAGTCAGACACAATTGAAAATGGACGAAAAACTTTTCTATAAGACTTTAAAGTTTGCAGTGTTCTACAAATATTACCTCATTTGATCCCCACAGCAACTCTATGAAGTAGATACTATTAGATGACA